GGGGAAGGTTTGGAGGGAAAGTGGCGTGGCCCGGGCGGTCACGAGCGAGGAGTTGTGAGAGGCGGCCGCAGCTGTCCCGGGCAGTGCTTCTCTTTCCAGGAAGCAGCGGGGCCCTCTCCATCCCGGGGCTTCCTGGACATAGTGACCTCGGACGACCCGCCCCGCCTCCCCTTCCCCTCCCCGCAGGTCGGGCAAAACAATCGTCGATTCTGCGCGCCACTGACACTCATTGTGTGGCAGAGAGATGAGGGCATCCGTGCCACCCCCTCCATCACCCTCTTTCCCTGGTAGAAAACGCCCGCGGGTGAGGGTGGGAGAAACATCTGGTTTCGTGGGCCAGGCCTTGGGCATCTGTGTCCTCGAGCGCCGGTGTGTTTTCCCTCTTCTAAAAGACCTAGATGGAAATCTCTCCCCACCCCGAGGCTCTGTGCTAAGTGGCCATTATTTCTGAAAGCCAAAAGAGCCTGCAGTGAGTTATGACCTCAGTCCTTGAAAGCTAGGGAGCAAGAAAGGAGCTGGTATGGAGCACCTTTAAAGCAAGATGTAATGTGTCACCCAACAGCCAACCCTCAGTGGTATTTTACCCACCTGAGAGGCCTGGTATGGAAGGTCTAGGGAAGATGCCAGTAAGAGATGGAAGAACAGCTCAGTGGTATTTTACCCACTGGCACAGACCGGAGAATATTCTCCATGCTCCTGATCCTGATGCTGTTGTAATAAAATCAGGATCCAAGTCTAGGCTGGGGGCCAGAGTGTGGGCTCAGATCTCACCTAGAGCCCTGGTCTCCAGGCACCTGCCCCCTGCTCCTTTGGTGTGAATGAATGGGCCGCCCCTCCCCATGCTGAGAGAGAGGGCTTTGAAGTACTGTCACGGTGACACCGAGGAAATCCACTGGGCTCTGGTAGAAAGTATATCTGAATAGGTGGCCTGCAATCTTGGTGAGAGATTGTTTGGAAGGCAGAGTTTTGACTCTTAATACACGGGTTTCCTTGGACAAGTGACTTAACTTCTCAATGGCTCAATTTCTTTCAGGGATGGTACTTGGGGGAATGTATTCCACAGAACCTCCAACACAGAGGCGCTCGTCTACAGTCTTCTTTTTGTCCTCCCCCATCCTTACCCTTCCTGAACAGTAAATGTTAGAGTTGGCCTTTTCTTAAGATAACAGTAAGCAGGTATTTGCACTTGCTGTGTGTCAGACACTGTGCTAAATACTTCACGTGTATTATCTTGGACAATTTATGAGGTAGATAGGGTGCTGTCCATTTTACAGATGAAGAAACTTATGCGGAATTGTATTTTATTCAGAATTGTATCTGGAGTTGCCATTGAAACATAGGCTGCCTGCTTCCAAAACCTACGCTTGGTCACTACCTCATTATTTTTCTAAAAGCTAAGGAGGGTGGCGGTGCTAGCTTCGTGTCTCTGTCCTTTCAGAGTTCAGGTTGGAGAGTCCCACCACCCACCCCAGTGGGATCTGGGGACAAGGGTGCTGAGCTTCCCCTTCTCTCGCTCCTTGTTGCCTCCTGACTCTCTAGAAGACTCAGGAGACTGGGTCACCTCTTTTGAGAGAGACTGTCCTCAACCCTCAGCTGCTGGTAGGCAGCTTGTACCCATTGTTGCCTGAATCCAGAATCCAGCCTTGTGGTGCTCAGGGTCTTCTGGTGAATGACCTTGGAGAGGATTTCCGGGGTGGTGCAATCAGACGGGGAGGAAGTTTATCCTGCAGAGGGTGTGGTGTGGGTTAGAGGAGAGAATTGTCTACAAGGCCTGAGAGGCCTGGTATGGAAGGTCTGGGGAAGATGCCGGAAAGAGATGGAAGAACAGCTCTGCAACTGGCCTGCTGGTAAAATGGAAAAGCAGGGATACCACAGCCTCTTCTGATTTGCCTTAGTGCCCTTCTTCCTGGCCAGGTGTTTGCTTTTTTTAATTGCTCATGTGTGCATCTGCCTCAGGAGCTAGTGAGTTCTCGCTGGACCTGAGTTGCACCCTGGAAGTGTGGGCAAATTCATCAGCAGATGAGAGGAAAAAGGCATAGTTTTATTCACTGTTGCCCTCTTGGTGGGAAAAGCATATAGGGAAGGCTTTCTGGCAGGTTGCTAAAGTTTTAAATATGCATGTAAGCCCTGTTATTGTGCAACATTAGCTTGCTAGAGGACGATGAAGAGACATGCATTAAACATTTTGAGATCCAAAGAAGTGCTAGTGAGAATAAAAATACTTTTTTTCCCCAAGCCAGACGTTTGCCATTACTCAGGCATATGGGCAAATATTAAAAGAGACACAAAACTGAACAATAAACATTAGAGTTGGCCTTTTCTTAAGATAATGGTAAGCAGGTATCTGCACTTGCTGTGTGCCAGGCACTGTGCTAAATACTTCATGTGTATTATCATGGGTAGTTTATGAGGTAGGTATGGGTGCTCTCCATGTTACAGATGAAGAAACTGAGGCTCAGGGGTGCTAATTGTCCAGAATTGCATCTGGTTAGTTGTGGAGCTGCCATTGAAACACAGACTGCCTGCTTCCAAAACCCACGCTCTTTCATTACCTAATTATTTTTCTTTGCTACTCTACATTTCTGTTTTCTACGTTGTAACTCACTAAGGAAATATCTGCCATTTGTGAAGCTCACCAGCTTTACAAGGTGTTTTACAGCAGCTTATAAACTGTATAAGGAAGATATGGTTTTGTTGGTTTTCATGTGACTGGATTGGAGTTAGAACTCATGACCTCCAAGTTTTCACTCAGCTACGTGGCCAGGGGAAAGAGGCCTGGAAATGATTGCTGAGACCCCAGTGGATGTGCTTTCCCCAGATCTGATGCATGTGAGGTTTAGGACTAGATTTACAGGAAAGAAAAGAAGCCTGGAAAAGACCTTGAGAGAGAGAAAGCAAGAAAGAGAGAGAGAAGTTGGGGAGAGAGGGAGGGAGGGAGACAGAGAGGGGTAGTAAAGCTTTGGGAGTGGGAGGGGAGGGTCTTGGGTTTTGACAAGAGCCACCTGGGCTGCTGTTTCCATTTGTCAGGAATTTAAATGGTAATGACGTGCCTGTACTACTACGCAGCTCCCCAGGAATTTGTCTGACGCCAGCATTGAGTAATTCCCATGTATGGTAAAGTGTGTAAATAAGGAAGCAGTTAGCATTTCCAGACTCTGGTATTTCCAGTGCTTCTCAAGGGCCAGGAGGCAGCGTCTCAGTCCTCCACGGTGACAGCAGAGAAAGAAAAGGAAGGTTAGCAGCTGGAGTACGGGCTCAGCCCCCAGTGGGCCTGGCATTCTTTATGCAGGGATGTCGTGGGTTGGAACTTCCTGAGATGCCAGCTGCAGGCAACTTGTGGTTATAAGGCCTCATTTGTTTTTCCTTTTAAAAAATTAATCAAAGAAAAATCATTCAGACCATTCTATTCAGCATGGGTAACCAACTGTAAGCACTCGAAGTTGATGCCTTTCCAGATCCAGATAAAAGCAAAGACATTCAATCTGTTAATTAGTCTGTGAGACTTTATTATAATATAGAATTTCCTGCAATAATTTTGAAACACTTGAAAGAAATCATAGACCTCCCCAGCTACCTTTGTTGACCTTCAGAATTCTGAACTCCAAGGGTACAGAGGTCTGCTATAGACGGCATTGGAGGACAGTGGGGGAAGGGAGAGACATAGCCTTGTCAGCTCACAGTCCCACAAGGGCCACGGGACATGGACTCGAAAAGGGAAAAGTTATGCCATAAAAAGAGAGAGCCCTGAGCTACAATGACAGTCAAGTTCTGGGGTGCTATGGAGTCTGAGGCGATCATAGCTCAGTGATCCTGGTTAGCTTCTCAGAGAGGGGAGTCACGTACAGGCTTCTGAAGAAATGATGAGTGCAATGTGTAAAGTGCCATTCCTCCCTTTACCAGTGACCATTACCTTTGGGAGAGGCCTGTTTCCAGGGCGTTCAGGTGTCACTTCCAAGCATGGGCTCTGAGTCCTGCAGTGGGGCCCCTGCCTTCCCTCTCTGTCCTTGGCTGCTTTCTAGATGTGGGGGCATGGAGGAAGAGGCTGAGCAGAGTGGCTGGAAAGGATGATGGCACTCCTATGTACCTGGCAGGTGCCAAGCAGCTCAGGTAATATGAGTGGCACATTTCTTACAAGATAAACACTTGACAGGTTTCTACCAGACCAAGTGGGTGGAGACTTAAGTCCTGTGCCCTACAGAACAAGTGATTTTGGATTGTGAGAGATGGGATTTTTCCACTGGATAACTAAAGATGTGGGATAGTTTATCAAGGGTTTATGAGAAGGGGCTCTCCTTCAGGTGTTGGGGGCTGGCAGTGAAGGATTGCATGTCTCTGAGATGGTTCCTTACACTAGAAACATTACCACATGGAACCTGTCCCCTCAGTCTGCCTTTCTGGGGTGACCATGAGAGTCTGTGCTCTGTGTCTGCACCTTTCTCTGCTGCTGTAAGAGCCACCATCTTGGCTCTCCCCTCTCAAGATTGAAAATCTGGTTATAGTCCTGATGGGACAACCAGGTAGGAAGGCATAGTCGGTGGACTCAGGCTTTTAGCCTCCAGCCAGTCCTGAGGACATTAGCATTCAGGTAAATAGCTGAACAGATACTTGCAGCTGTTCAGCAGAAAATTCAAGTTCTTCTCCATTGAGATCCTCAACTCAGTGACATGGGACAAAAACAACATGAAGAGCGATTCCCAGTGGGATTGTCACTCTCTGAACAGAACCCACTATAAACCCAACAGGTAGACAATGTGATGAAGGAGGATAGCAATGATTGTGATGGCCTAGAGCAATAGCAGAGAACTTGATAAAGACACAAGTCCCTGCTTCCCATCTCAGGTAACCAGGGGGAACCAAACCCCAAGGAAGGGCAAGTGACTTGTCCCAGACTCATTAGCTGGGCTGATAGATGAGTCAGGAATCCTGGTTTCTGTTTCACACGTTACTTCTTAAACCTTGTTCCTTCCAGATATGGGCCTGCTGGGAAGGAGCACAGATGTCTGGCACACATCTGGCACTGCAGTGTTCAGGCATGGCTGGACCAGTCCTGTTAGTGGTAGTCAGAGCACTTTACAATGTGCCAAGCACGGTGCGATCACTCCCACACATCATCACTTAGTCCTCAGAACACAATTATAGGCAGTCCATGTTAGAGACAAGCAAATCGAAGCTTAGAGAGGAAAGTAACTTGCCTAAGATGATTTGGCTAGGATGGGGTATATCCAGATCTATCTAACCCCAGCTCCCGTTTTCCTAACCACTGACCTGCACAGCCTGGCCTCCGACCTAGGGAGCCTCCCCTTCCCAGCCTCTGGCAGGAGGGGCTCTATCCCCTAGAATTGGGATGCAATCAAGAAGGAGCCAAGCGT